CCAGAGGAGGGACAGTGGTTTGGACATGTCCAGAGGAGGGACAGTGGGTATATTGTTAGAAGGATGTTAGAAATGCAGCTGCAGGAAAAAGACAAAGAGGAGACATGTGGATGCAGTTAGAGAGGACATGGAAGTAGTTGGAGTGAGGACAGAGGACACAGAGGACAGAGTGAGGTGGAGGAGGACGACTAGCTGTGGAGGGAAAAGCTGAAAGAAGACGAAGATTTAAGTTTGTTCTCGTTTATTTATTGGGGACTTTCTCAACCATCTCTGCTCTAAAGTAAACTTCATCGTACCCGTGGGATACTTAGATTTCGGCTACTTTTGTGTCATTTTAGGTTTTTGCTACTGTTTAGGTGATTTTAGCATCAAGCTACATTTAAAAGGTTTGACCTTTTAGCTAATGTTGTTACTGTTTCAGCAACAGTTTTCCTAATTTTGACTCTTGTTGCTAATTTCAGCTTCTAGCTACAAGTTTGGTCCTTTCAGCTTTTAGAAACAAAACACACAAGAACACACCGGCTGAACAAATCATATAATTTGTTTGGCCAATGTTTTCTTGTCATTTTAGCTTCAGTTCAGCTTCTTGAGCCCTTTCAATAGTGCTGGGCGGATCTATCCCAGTATCAATAATATACATTATAAAATGAGTATTGATCAGTATCAATGTAAAAGTACTGATGCTTTAGTTTTAGTAGAAGGCATCACCACCGCCACTGAAAAGAAAGCTGCATTTAAACGAAAATACCGTGATTTCCAGAATAAACAGCGCACCTGTGTACAAGGCACACACACTAAATAAAAAAATTAAGGATTTTATACATAAATAAGCCACGGGCGTTCACGCACACACAGAGTGAACCCCACAGGTCTTCATGACCTCCCTCACTCATGGCTACTCCTCTGAATGACCTAACACAAACCAACACACAATGAATTCAGTTCAGTTTATTTAATGTACGTAGCGCCAAATCACAACAAAGTGGTCTCAGCGCACTTTACAGGAACATTCAATACAAAACAAAGTCCGTGCTCAATAATCCAGGTATACAATCCAACAATTTTCAGTCAGGTCATCTGGACAGTTTCTTTTTTTGTGCTGAAACGTTTCGCCTTCCATCCAGAAGGCTTCTTCAGTCAAGGAAACACACATCAAAACTGATTCTTCCCCCAACAGCTTACTCCAAAGTGGAACAAACCAGTTCTGTTGGTGCTAAGATGGTGTCTTTGGCACGCCCCCTCCTCCATTACCGGCCCTCTTCCTCGTCGACAGTCATGTCAAACTGGTTCAAAACCAAAAAAAGTCTAATCTCAATAATCACATACATAGAAAAGCCCGTTAGTAAAATTCACCAATAATCCCTCTCTGAGGTCATGTGACCAGCAGTCGACACGTCTCTCTTGGGGGGTGGGTTCTCGTGACTCAATGAGACCACCTCATTGGCTCATTGTGGTTGACTGCTGGTCACATGACCTCAGAGAGGGATTATCGGTCAAATTTATGTTCACTGCTAATCATTTCAGTTAGCTGTTTAGCATTGTTCTGTTAGTGATTAGTCGGTTCTTGTTAGCCTAGTTAGTGCGTTCATTATGAGTTACTTTGTGTTCGGCCGTTCAGTAGAGTAACCATGAGTGAGGGAGGTAGTTGTCATGGAAACCTGTGGGGTTCACTGTCTGTCACGAGGACCCACCCTCAGCTGTGTGAGTGCCTGGGTGTGACAAAGCCAAATGCTTTCTGCAGCAGGACGCATGATAGCCAGGGCTTAATTTGTAAAACCACTGATGCCGGAACACAAA